AGAGGGCTGTGTGTGATGGTGTGAGAGTGCTATGTGTGAGAGGGCTGTGTGTGATTGGTGTGAGAGTGCTGTGTGTGAGAGGGCTGTGTGTGTGTGATGGGTGTGAGAGTGTTATGTGTGAGAGGGCTGTGTGTGATGGGTGTGAGAGTGCTATGTGTGATGAGTGTGAGAGTGCTATGTGTGAGAGGGCTGTGTGTGATGGGTGTGAGAGTGCTGTGTGTGAATGTTAGAAGGGATTGAGTGTTTGTTTGGGAAAATAAAAAAAAAATATAAAAAAAAATTAGGCATTATTTCCCTCCTCCCTTCTTACCTTTAGCCTGGGAGGGTGGGACCGGCACGCTGGTAACTGGGAGAGAGAGACTGGCACTCCGACACATCCCTGGTGGTCCAGTGGTGAGTGAACTCTAGCCTGCGGGTTAGAGTTCACTCTCGCGAGATCGGGGCATTGCCATCCCTTCTAACATTCACACACAGCACTCTCACACCCATCACACACAGCCTTCTCACACATAGCCCTCTCACACATAGCACTCCGCCGGGTCGTCCTCTCCCTCCCCAGCCGCAGGTCTATTCAAGTGGGCCAGTGAGGGAGATCTTTGTCCTGTGACCTCCACTGCCGGCCTCGGACCATGGCCACCGCGGCATTTGCCCGGTGTGCCCGATGGCCAGTCTGGACCTGATACCTGTTATGTTTGATAGCTGACTTACATTAATCATCCAGGATTTTGTTGATCACAAGTCACATATTATGTCTGATCCCTTTGTTGATATACACATTAGTGCTATAGCATACACCCAACATGGCTGAACCAGCCTCGCCAGTGGGCATTGGAGAAGACTGATTGCCAGCATCCTGCCATGTGACTATGGCCCCTGGGATGTATTGCCTGCTCTCCTGTACTGCTGAGGTTTGCTACCAACTAGGTGGATTTGGCTATGGAGCTTGTCTAGTGCTCTCTGCTGGTAGCAACAGCAATATGCACTATAACGGATCACCTGGCACCACGACTGGGTACCTCCTTTGAAGGATGCTCCTAGCACGTCTTGAGGACTCCAAGCACTGCAGCAGACACCACAACCACCGAACCGGAGAAGCATACTGTAGCGGATGGTACTGTGGCTGTCCTTAAAGACTATGAGAATCCTGCAATTCGTGTGTTGTTTCTGCTTTGTAATTCATTGTAACTGGCATTCGTATGATTGTTCGGTAGTTTACATCTGTATTTCATACGAATGGAAACTACCGAACTAATAGACCTCCCCAGAGTGAAGGGTGTCCCTAATTAAGCTGTAATATACGTGTTAACCGCAAACTAATAGGTGGTTTATGGATGTATGGCCATCTTACGCATGAAAGACTCAGCGGTGTTTGGTCGTCGAGTGTCTGGAACTCAAATCGGGCACTCGATTACCCGAACACCGCTGACACCTCCAGAGCTCCAGAACTCACGAATGGGAATACGAATCAGCCCCCTGTTCGGTGAGTTTGGAGTACCGAACAAGGGCATTCATGCGAATGCCTTTTTAATAGTGGATGGCATGTATTTCTGGGTATTTAACCTCCCGAACAAAGACCGACCGCAGGGCCAAAATGCATGGAACCCTTTTCGGATATCGCCTTGTGTGCGGTCGGTCAAATTTCACCCTCCACCTAACTCCCGAACCCCTGGTCTGATATGGGTGAATTTTGGATATGTTGGTCACCCAGATCAGGGCTACCAGGGGTACACTAAGTATTGGTGTACCTGCTAATCTTGGGGTACATCCAGAACTTGGGGAAAACTGTACTTTGTATAATGGGATTAGGTGTCATACTAAGGGGAGGAGATATGTGGGAGGTAACTGCTATTCTACTGGGTACTGTCTTAATGAATGTGAATCCCTCCCTTGCATGGGAGAAATGCTTAAAAGGAGGTTGTGTGTAATAAAAGTCAGTTCTGCTCCTGATGCTGTGTGTTGTCCAGTCATTGGTATCTGTATGGGGATATTCGTGGATTACCTTGCTTGTTGGAATTATTACTTCATGGAATTTTTCATCACTTGTTCCTGAGCCTCACTGGGATCTTAGTGGAGTTAACCTGTGAAATACCAGGCCTCCGCTACACATACAAATGCTCTCAAGCATATGACTGCTGGAAAACAGCTGAACAGGAAAAGCATACAATCAGCTTATACTCCTGGCAGTCAGCATACAATCCAATTCCCCCAATAACGAGACAACACTTCGTTTTGAGGTCAAGCAGAACTGACTGTACTGGCACATACAGCCTCTTTTATTCACAATCCACAAGCATAGCACCGCCCACAGGGCTTTGAAATATAACCAATCAATCCGTACCATACACACAGACACTCCCACACAAAATCCTCCCCTCTGCCTGTGATATGATAACTGAACACAATGGTTAATAATACAGTATTATAAAACATATCCCTGGGACCCCAAAACATGAAATAACCCCATAAAAAGTATATCCTTGGAACTGGGGGATCTGGGTGAACCACATATTCAAAATTCTCCCAGATACGTTCAGTAGTTTGGAAGATACAGTTTAATGCAGATTCTGCAGAACATGTATGTATGTAGTGGGCATTGGATAGTATTCCCTTCATCCATCATAAAACCATAACTTACCCCTTCAAATAACGACAGACAACTTCTTGGAGAAAACAGGCCACAGCATTTATTAACACAACCAAATACTGTATGACTCCTTTAACATATAACGAAATAATAAATATCATAAATTAACATAAACAACTTGCATATAGTGATGTCGCGAACCCGAAATTTTCGGTTCGCGAACGGCGAACGCGAACTTCCGCAAATGTTCGCGAACCGGCGAACCGCCCGAAACGCCATTGACTTCAATGGGGAGGCGAATTTAGTCGTTTTTTCAGCCTGAAATAGACCGACCTCACAGCCCAAATCTATGGAACTGTTTTGGGCAGGAAAATGTGCTTGCGGTCGGTCATAAAGGGACCTCCAGCTAACTTTTTAACCCCTGGATGGATTTGGCTGATTTTTGGTTATGTTTATGTTTTAAGTGTGCTGATTCCAAATATGTAATTATGAAGATGGGATGTGTAGTTTTAAAGTTACAGGGTATGGCTAAAAACTGTATTTTTACTGCCTGTGTTTAATTATGTTAATCTCTTCCCAAACGCCATTTCGTTCAAAGTGGAGAGAATGTTAAAAAAATATATTTTTGTTCGGAGTGTGAGAAATGCTTTTCAGCCGCTTCTAATCTTAAGCATCATTTGAGGAGCCATACAGGAGAGAAACCTTATTTGTGGTGTGTTTAGTATTGTTCTGATCAGTTTAATACCTTCCGCGTCTCCTATCAGTGGACGTGTATATGGCAGCCATTTTAGGAACCGCACACCTGGGACCCGAGCAAGGTCACCTCGTTCAACAGGCGACAACATTTGTCCCTGGAAAACTATCCTGGACATTCTGTACAATTTGTATGGATATGGCAGTGATTTCTGTAACAGGGAGATGGAAGAAGATGCTTGGTCGGTCCTCTTAATTCAAATTTGGGGCACCGCGCGGTCAAGCTAATGTGCCACCAGATAGGAGTGGTGTGTTTAGTATTTTTCTGATCAGTTTAATACCTTCCGCGTCTCCTATCAGTGGACGTGTATATGGCAGCCATTTTAGGAACCGTACACCTGGGACCCGAGCAAGGTCACCTCGTTCAACAGGCTTGCAGCATATCCTCCAGGAAGAAGAGCCTGAACCCTTACCGGCTGCACGTGTCTTACCTGTACATGGAAAGCTGCTGTGGTTCCTTGATGAGCCAGCTGCCCGTGAGTTAACATGTCCCGTGGAGAAGCACTCTGTCCTGTAAAGCCTCACCAAAAAAAAAAGGAGTGGTGTGTTTAGTATTGTTCTGATCAGTTTAATACCTTTCGCGTCTCCTATCAGTGGACGGTACACGCATTGATTTTGTAACAGGGAGATGGAAGAAGAGGCTTGGTCGGTCCTCTTACTGCAAAATTTGGGGCACTGCGCTGGGTCAAGCTAATGTGACAATGATAGAGTGGTGTGTTTAGTATTGTTCTGATCAGTTTAATACCATCCGCGTCTCCTATCAGTGGACGTGTACACGGCATTGATTTTTGTAACAGGGAGATGGAAGAAGAGGCTTGGTCGGTCCTCTTATTGCAAATTTGGGGCACTGCGCGGTCAAGCTAATGTGACACCAGATAGGAGTGGTGTGTTTAGTACTATTTTTATCAGTTTAATGCCTTCCGCGTCTCCTATCAGTGGACGTGTACACGGCATTGATTTTTGTAACAGGGAGATGGAAGAAGAGGCTTGGTCGGTCCTCTTACTGCAATTTGGGGCACTGCGCGGTCAAGCTAATGTGACACCAGATAGGAGTGGTG